CACGCAAGTACTAGGTCCATCCACCTGCGCCAACGACTGGGCACCCAGAATTTTCTTCGGCATCCAGTAACCGAGAAGTATGCCCTCAATCACTGACAGGGGCTGCCAGCTCAAGAAGCTGTCATATACCTGGCCGTGCTCTTTGGCCCAGCCGAGCTTCCCAAGCTCTGACTTAGCTCCCTCCCCTGTCCAAAACAACTTCTCGTCTTGACCAACCGTCATGGGAAGCCCCATCTCGTTTGCTGCAAGTGGGAGGTCGACATGTGCTTCGGACAGCTGCTTGCGGGCTGCAGCCCCCAGGACGCTGTTGCACATCAGCTCTCTCTGGCTACCAACAAGGATATTCTTCTCAGCACAGCACTGCTCTTGCCAGGTAACTCGGTCGCCCTGCGCCAGGAAAGGCCAGCGCAGGCCTCAGAGGGCCAGCACGAAACACGACAGGCAGAGCGTAAGCCAACCCCACCACCCAAAGCCCTGAAACTCGCAGTCTTCTCCAAAGCTACCCGGATGGTTTGGCGCGCCAACTTCCTAGCCTTCGGGCGACATACGCACCTAGGCCCCCCTGATCGAATACCGTCCAATGAGAAGTCACAAAAACAGGTTGCAACCATCTACTTTCTGTTCGGAAGACACCCGATAGCTGTTACTGTTGCTGCACTCCGAGCTGCACGCACGTCCATTCCATCCGCACGCTCTGCCACAGCAACCCATCACGTGTGCTTCCGCTTTTTTGACTGCCAACTCAGCGCAAAGGATGGTATAAGGAGCTCCATTTTGAAAGTGAATCTTCTCGATTTTCTCAACCTGCTCGGAGACACTCTTCACAATGCCTTCGCACTCATCTTCACAGACATGTTGCAGAGAATCAAAGGCTTGCTGGGAGGCTTTGGAGAGCTCTTGCAAGCGCTGGCCGATTCCTGGGGGCACTGGAGCTGCGCCGCTCTCCACGGCCTTCGCTGTCTGCTGCGGTGACCAGTCTCCTCGCAAAGCTGCCTTGCAGTAGGCCTGCGTTGTGTTAGTTTCTAGCAGCTGCTGGAGCCTCTTCTTCATGTCATCCCTCTTTCGAAAGGCCTCCTCTCTTCTGTCAGGAAACAACAGTTCTTTGAAATCTGCCCACAGGGTGAAGGTTTCAACCCCCATGTCCTTTTGCATGCTTGCGAAAAGGTTCGAGCAAAACTCCACTGCTGGACTCTTGAGATCAACCTCGGGTGGTATCTTGTTATTGTTACTGTTGCTTTCGCACCTGCATGCAGGAAGCCACAGTGTGCAGTCGCCAGCCCAAGCCGCCTGCTCATCACAGAGCTCACTTGGGACAAAGGAACCAAGACTTTCACCATTTAGGCATGCATAGGAAGTAAAACCAGTGCCCATGGTCCAAAATCTCCCCCTTTGTGGGTTGCACTTGCAACGGCCATCTTCCGTCCGGTGCGCATCCCACTTGTCACACTCGCCTCCCTGTTTCTGGTACCAGGCGGCAAGCTTCCGGAGCACGTCCTCTCGATGCCACGCCTCCGACGTGCGATTTAGAAGACTTTTCAGAGTAGCCTTGGCTTCCAAGGTTGGCTGGGGCGCAGCACGATGTGCCAAGCTAAGACGAAGGAAGCACAAGAGGACAACTGTCAACAGGGCCATGGGCAAGGAAAGCAGAAGCAACGAAACAGAAACTAAACGGGAATGCCTTGAGCAGACAACTCGTCGTTTCTTTTATTGTCGCTCTGTCTTGGTTTGTGACTCGCTTCTTTCAGGCATAGGGGGGCGCTGCAGAACCCCCTGGCCACTAGGGCCCCCCATGCGTTATGGGGTGTTGATGGCGTTGTGAAACAAGTACCGGGAGCATGTATGACTTTACGACAAGTTTGACTGCCTGAAACATTGTACATCCCCCGGCCTTTTTATGCTACATCGTACAATTCGGGCCGCTTGATCCATCTTGATTTCGGCCCTAGCATGCTTTTTCCACCTACACTTTCTTTTGGCCCTATCACGAGGTCCAGAAAAAGACCGCCATCTTTTCTTCAACCTCCATGCTCTGTTTTAAACAATCTTTGTCTCGGCCGCGAAATATCTCGCAGCTGAGACCGGGTCTTTTTTCGAACCCGCGGGCATCTTTTTTTTGGCCTCCACGGTCTTGTTTCTGACCTCTGCGGACATAGAGACGCGCACACATGACATGACAACAGTGCAAGAGAGAACACCAAAAGCGTCACGTAAACAAATGTTTGCAGTGCAGAAACCACAAGCACTAGCGCATCCATGGCACCAGGGTTTCGAACGTGTACTTGCCGGGATGGCAATGAAAACGAAAAAAACGGCTCGCAAACACGCCACTCGTGATTTCTTGCAAAATTTTAAAACTGAAATAAAACGCTTTTTCCAACACACAAAAAAGAAGCCACAAGAATTCGCTTTAAGGGTGTCACACACGCGAGGAATTCGCGTTGAAAGCACAATTGCAGGACTTCCAGCTTTCCAAAAATCAGCCTAGGGGGACTTGAGAGGCAAAATACACATGGGAAATCTTTGTCTCTGAGCTGAGTTATGGAGAAATACAAACAAGCAACACATTCTTGCTTGCAAAAACCCAAATGTGAAAAGCAGGGGAAT